GGGGGCGCGGGAGCCGCGGACCCCCCCCCCCGCCGGTCCCGCGCCCCACAGCGGCGGGGCGGTCAGCAATAAAAAAATAGACAGAACTTTTTGGCCGAACGCGGGGGCGCCCCCCGCCCCGACGCCGTCTGGCTGCTGTGGCAGCTGAGGCAGGAGCAGGGCGCCGAGCCCCCCGGAGGCCCCGAGCCCGCCGCCGCCGCCGCCGCCGCCGCCGCCGCTGCTGCTGCCGAGGCGGCCGCGCTGCTGTTGAGGCCGGCGGCGGCCGGCGTCTGGTAGAGGCCGGGGTGTCGGAAACTGCAGAGCAGCTCCGGGCGGGAGTAGGGGTGCGAGAGGGCGCGGAAAGTGTCCAGCGGGCGGATGGAGGTGGCGAAGGGCGCTGCGGCGGCTCCCGAGGCAGCGGCGGCAGCGGCGGCGGCCGTGACCCCGACGTGCGGGTAGTAGTGGAGCGGGACGTGGGAGTGGAAAGGGTAGGGCAGGCTGCCCGTGGCCGCCGCGTGGGTCATCATGTAGGTGTAGAAGCTGGGGTCGGCCGGGTGGGGCCAGGACATGGCCAGGCGCTGCCGCTTGTCCTTCATCCGCCGGTTCTGGAACCACACCTGCGGGGATACAAGCACAGCGCGGCCTCAGCTCCTCTCCACTCCTCGCCCCGCCGCGCCCGTTCCCGCGGACACCGGCGTGCACCCACCAAAACACATTGCCAAAGCTTCTAGGCTACCCCTCTCCCTCCCGGAGCAATCTCCCGTGACCTTGCCCGAGGGGAGAGGTACGGCCCTCCCTCTACTCGAGAGGGACCCCTTCGATCCGAATAAATGTTTCCCTTCGAATCGTCCCGTCCTCCCCACTCAGGGCTCGGTCTTCACGGTATTGACGCTCATTCATTCCCCCTACGTTTATTCTCTCCCCTCTTCACTTAAGGAAATAGGCGAACGCGATAAAAACTGACGAGGAAAATAAAAACAACACTAATGACAATAACTTTTTAAGAAGCAAATGAAAAGTGTTGGATGCAGAAAAGCAAACGAGCACGAGTGGTGCTGATAGCTATGGGCCCCTCGAGTCCTTCAGCCGGAGAGCCCAGCCGGCCGCGGCCCGGGACGCTCGGGGCAGCCGCGGCTCGGTGGGGCGCGGAACGCGGCGTACCTTGATGGTGGTTTCGGGAAGATTGAGGGCGGCGGCCAGCTCGCAGCGCCGCGGCCGCGACACGTAGTTCTCGCGGTAAAACTCCTTCTCCAGGCGGGCGATCTGCTCCCGGGTGAAGGCGGTGCGGTAGCGGCGCACCTGGTCGGCCCCCGCCGCCGAGCCGCCCAGCGCGCCGCCGCTGTGCAGGCTGCCGATGCCGGCGGCGGGGGCGGCGGGAGCGGCGGCGGCGCTGGGGGTCGGGCTGCTCTCCGCGTAGCCTGCGGGGCGAGGGCACGGTGGTGAGAGCGGGAGACTCGCTGGCCCCCCGATCCTCCCGGCCAGGCCGGACCGGGCCCGCTACAGCCGTGCTCAAGGCCAGCTGTCATTCTTACAAATCCCTGCTGCTAACAGAATCGATAAATTTGGATTTGGAGGTGGTTTATTGGTTATCGTTTGGTTGGTTGGTTGGGTTGGGATTTTTTAATCCTTCGTAACTGCTTTGTTTTCAGATTGGGCGGGTTTGGAGACTACAGGGCAGTCGAGCTCAGGGGAGAGCGGGCGAGGGCGCGGGCCGCGGCTCGGGGCCCGGGCTCGGCGCTAGCCTGTTCCCCTTCCACTGCCGTTCTTTAGTTTCGTTTGAGACATACAAAATAAAAGCAGCCATAAACCGCCCCCCCCTTTTTTTTTTTTTTTTTCTCTCTAGGGTTACGTCGAGCATCCCTGCCTTTCTCTGGCACATTTGAAGAAAAAGGCATGCACTGTGGCTCCTAGGAAATCCACCGTTTATCTCCCTACACCTCCCCAATAATAACCTCCACCTCCAGCAATAGTAACAACCACCGTGCCCCGCGAAGAACGGGGAAGGAGACGAGGCTGTTTCAAAACGCCTCTTACAAGCAGAGGAAAAGTGAACAATGCCAAATCAGCCCGAGGTGGACACAGACAGCACGTTGCATATACACAGAGAAGGACACACACAGTCAAATGCGGGCAGTTTCCTCGCATTCCCCCCTCTCTCTCTCTCTAATTTAATCTATGTATATACACTCATATACAGCTCAAGAGACGCCGAGATCTCCAAGAGCGCGGGGAAATACAGGGAGAAAGCTTTGCCTAAATATAGGTGGGTGGATATTTGTGCCCACCTATATTCTGGATATATATCTACATATCAATTGTTTGGGCATGCACACACACACACACGAAGGCAGCGGCACGGGAGCTGCCCGGACAGTGTATCTCGGCTGTTGGGGTAGCGCAGTAATTGTAATAATATTTTACAGCCTGGAGCTCTGTCTTCGCAGAAGAGAGAGCGCCGATGCAGAGGCCGGCAACTTTGGCGGTGGCAGTGGGTTTCCTCTGGTTTTTAAAGCCGGTTGGCAAAGTGAGGGGCTTAGATGAAGATGATAAAGGAAGAGTTACCTTTGTTACTGTTTTCCTTCAGCTGGGAGGAAGTCAGGCTGGCCGGGGAGCGGAGCGCAGAGCAGCCCACCTCCACATCACTGTTCATATCTGCCTCTTGAGCAACTTCGGAATAAAGGCTGATTTTCTTCCTGCTTTCCGACGGCGGGATTTCGGAGGAGACAGTGCTTTCACTGCTCGGATGCTGGAGATTGAATAAAGTGTCTATTTCAAATTTGCCTTTGGCGGAGATGTCCCCTATAGCGCTGTGCAGGGAGGCGGCAGTCAGTCTCGGGCTGAGGCGACCACTGTGCGGAGAATTTTCAAGGGCCTCCAACACCGCATTTCCAGCTGAGTCTGACAAATTCGAGAGCCTTTTGCCAGCTGTAGGGCTGTGCAGCCCTCTCTCCATCAGGATCATCTCTTTTCTTATTCTTTCCATCATCTCAGCTTTATAAAAAATGTCAAAGTTGCAGGGCTGGTCCTGTACTAATGATGAGCTGCAGCAGGGGCTAATTCACATTCAGCCCGGCAAGTGTCTCTAAATATTATTATCTGTTTTTGAGGGAGGTGTAAAAATTGTGGGATGCCAAAGCGAGGGAATGACTGGTCAAAATGACCCATACATCCTTTCTAGCCCGAAATGTCATTCATCAAAAAGTGGTGCTCGTCATTAAGGTACGAATGACGCTGTTCGAATAATCATTTATTGTAACAGGTTTATAAGCAAATAAATACAAGCTCCTGTCAGTGGATAATGAAGGCGGCTTCAGAGCAGACAAATATATCCAGGTGGAAAGAAAGAAAGACAAGAAGTGAGGAGTAAAGCTCCTGTCCTTAGCTTGATCAGATCCTGCTTGAATTGCTCTGGGGTTTGGCCTCTGGGGTGGAATTGACAGTCTGATTAATAAAATGAGCTGTGCAACATTTCCCCCTTCATTTAGGTGCATCATTATGCTCTGATTTTTGTTTTGTTGCCTTTTAGGTCCTAATGATGCAGCTTCTTTCTCATTTGTCCTCGGACAGAACTACATGCTAAATATTAGATAATACTTTTCTTTATTATTATCTCTGAGGCGAATTTTAGATCACAACGCAAGGAAATGCTCAAGAGGACCAGAGGATCGAGAACATCCTGCCGCTGATATCTCTTTACTTTTCCTTCCCATTTCCAGACCACTTTAGTACTTTTATTTAGGAATTTACACTGACACCCCCACGCACCCTCTCACAGGCACGAACCAGACTTTACAAGTCTGCTGCACAGATTCAAGTGTACCTACAGTAGTTACCCGAAGATTAAAATATTTGTTACAATGCAGTATATTACAACTCTATTATCTTTGTCTTCCTTGCGCCCTTAAATATGATCTTATTTTTTACTTTCTATAATCCTGCTTATCGACGAAGCTAGCCCGGGATTTTTCTTCCCTCTGGGAAAATACTGACTGTTTTACGGTATGATAGGGGAAGGAAATAACTGGAGAACATTAAATACATTCGTGATTTAAAACACTCCGTGGGCATCCATTTCATTCTCCCGGCAGGTCTCACTCCAGCCCTTTGCTTCTTTCCTCCCCACCACCAATAAAACCTAAGCATTTGAAAATTAAAAAATAATCATAGAATTAAATGATGGATGGGGGATTATTGCCTACAGGCTCCGACCTACCAGAAGCATCACCTTAACACCCTCTCTCCAAAGTTACCTGTGGCTCAGTTAGCTCATCCCTCCGCTCTTTGCCGGTGCCGCGGGGCGAAGCGTCGCCGCGCTGCTGGAGACACGGGCTGCCGCGCTCGGCAGACGTGACAGTCGGAAAGTCTCCCTTCAGTGGTAACTTTGCTAGTAATAATGACGCTGATGGCAACCATTTAAACGAAGATAAATCCTTTGTCGTTAGCATCTCTGGAGTGAGCCTCGATAGCTGCCCAACCTTTTTTCTCGCAGTGATTTTTTTTCACCTACATCATCTAGTGTTTAGACCCTGGGAGCACGAATTTCATCTCCGGGAGAAACACATGAATATTTCCTGTGATTAAACGCGGGTTTGATTTTTTTTTTTTTTTTTAATGAGGAGAGCTCTTCCTGCTAATCTTGGTCACACGCATCTCCTAAGTTCTTGTGCTCCTGCGCATGATTCATAGTTCGAAAATGGGATACTTGTCAGATTTTTTTTTCCAATAGCCTATTAAAATCCCCCTAAACATTCCACCAAATATTTAAGAAGTATTCTAGGCGTTGTTTGCAAAATCCAGCCTTCTATTAATGAGAGTTTTATGTCAGCCCTTTGAAATGTGAATTTAGACAGCAACGCGGTGTCCTGAGTTTTACAGCCCTCAAACCAGACAAGAGTAAATGTCAACTTTTCCTTGCCCGCGGGCTCGGCGGAAGAGCGGGCCGGTGCTGCGGGGAGAGGAGCGGTGGGCAGGTTCCGCAGCCGCAGACACCCCGCGGGGTCCCGGCCGGGCCGGGAGCCGCGGCTCCGAGGGGTCCGGGAGCGTGTCCCCGCGGTGCCCCGCGGAGGGAGCGCGGCCGGGCAGGGGCCCTGCCGGCGGCAGCTGGCACCGCCCGCCCCGCCCGNCCGCGGCCCCGCCGGCTCCCGCAGCCCCTCGCTCCCCGCCGGGCCCGGCTCCGCAGCAGGCGGCGGCGCGGCCGCGGCTCCCGGCGGGGCGGAGGCGGAGCGGAAACCTGCGGCCGGGTTTATTGCTGTCGTTTGGCGCCCTCGTCTGTTTTCTTACATGCTGTAACGCGGCAAGCATCTTTCCCCCCGCTCTCTCGAAAACCGCAGCCGAGATACCACGGCTCGGAGGCAATCGTGTGTGCACGCCACCAGAACCGGCACAGCTTTAGGCTCAAAAAATGTTACTGCACCACTAAAAAGGAGAGAACGGGTTTTATGTTATTTGGAGCGGATGAAAAAGACTATGTGAAATGTGAGAAAAATAAGTTACACTCAAGTGCGGCTATGAATGATCTTTACTAGGGTTATATTTTGCACCTTTTAAATAATACTGATTCCTTAGGTTATGTACAGAGTATCTTAAAATACAGCTAGATTCATATGCAAGGGTTATAAAATGTTATACAACATGTTAATAATCTTCCACTAGGCAAAGGTGAGGTTACAAAACTGTTCCCTGCAATGCAGTTAATGAGTTCACCCCAGATCCTCAACCCCCTAATAAACTAGTTGTCCGTTGTTTAAATTCCCAGAAAAGTAGAACTATTTACTGCACTGATGTTTATATCTTTGCTTGGTGTTTGTGTGCGTAGGGGAGTTTATGTTTTGGGATTGTTGTTTTGTTGCCTTTTTTTTTTTTTTTTTTTTAATTGTTACTTTTCCTTTGTGGTGGTCCCTTGAGGTTTTTGTTCGGTTGTGTTTTGTTTTTGTTTTTTTTTTTTTCTTTCAAAAATAATAGCAGAGCCTACAAAATATTTCCGAATGTTTGCAGTTGTTCAAAATCAATAGCTAAGCCTGAAAAACCACGGACATTGAAGCGACATTAGTGGGCAAAGAGGGAGGAAGTTACAGAGACCGCCGAGAAACTGCCGAAATATGTGAGCTTTTGTTAGACTCTGTTTACTCAGTTGTTCTTGTAAGTTTAAATAGCTGCTCAGGCCTTTGGCCAGATTTTTACCTTGAAAGTTATTGCTGGAGGCATCAATGAATATTTCAGTACTCATCTATTAAATCTTGCCCGGGGAAAAGGGGTCAGGTAGTTTAATTGAAACGAAGTTCGTATTAAATGAGACAAACATCCCGGGCAACTTTTCACCAGTCAGAGCATTCCTGGGAAGACGAGCGGGAATATCTGCTTCCCATCCCGCAGCGGGGCAGGCTGCCAGCAAGGCCCCAGGGTAGCGCGCAGGAGACATCCGTGGTAGCGCAGGGTCTCCGGGACGCTGCCCACGGGGCGGGAGAAGGCGGCGGTGCGGTGGTCGTGGGAAGAGCGGGGACGCGGGAGCCGCTCGCCCCTGTGGCTAGTGGCAGCCGCGCTCCTGGGGGCCCGCGCTGCGCCCGGCCGGCAGGTGAGTGAGGGACAGAGGGAGAGGGGGGACCCCTGCCCTGCCCTGCCTTGCCCTGCCAGCTCTGCTTTGCCCTGTCCTGCCCTGCCTTGCCCTGCTTTCCTGTCCTGCCAGCCCTGCCCGTCCTGTCCGGCCAGTCCTGCCTCTCCTGCCTGTCGTGCCCGCCGGCCCTGCCCGCCGGCCCTACCTGATCTGACGGCCGGCCCTGCCCTCCCTGTTCGCCGGCCCTGCCCGCAGGTGCTGCCACCCTTCCGTCCAGCCCTGCCCGCTGGCCCTGCCCGCCCCCTGCCACCAGCCGGAGGCCGCCTGGCAGGGCAGCTCGGCGCCCGCGCAGCACGCTCCTGCTCAGCCCCGACTGTCCCCTCTGCCTCAGGCCGCCATATCGGCATAGGGCCAGTCTTGGGGCTTGTTCAGTCTATATTGTCTGTGAAATGTCACTCGCGAGTGAAGGACGCGAGCACAGCGTGTCCCCGAGTCCCGCGGGCCCTGCACACCGTCCCTGCCCGCGCTGCCCAGGCAGAAATCCACGGACGCCAGGCGAGTTTCACACTTACACGGGTGAAAGTTCTGAGGCTGCCTTTGCACACAGACGGGGTTTCACTCAAACGACACAGCCCACGCCCGGTCGCAAAGGGACTCGGCCGATGGCTCAGTTTGGGTTGCGGCAGGCTGCCGAGCTGGTCCAAGGTCAGGGTCCCGAGGTCCCCGCGCTGTTCCAGAGCGGCGGGGGCAGGCAGAGAGCGGCCAGCACCAGCCCGTGACCCCAGAGCTCAAGTTCAACGCCCGCAGTGCTCAGCCGCCCGCGGCCGCTGCACAGAGACCACGCGGGGAGCCCCCAGAAAACTTTCTCCGTCTCGAAACCGATTATTTAAGGTTGAAGTAACTAAAGAAGTGAGAAGCTGTGGGCATAGATCTGGAGAGGAAAATAGTTTAGAACAATTCTCTACGTGTTGCTGTTCAATCTATTCGTTATCATAACTGACTATTTTTTTAAAGGCATGGGGGAAAATGAAAGTTCTATTTAGCTATTAAAATTTCATACGAATTAAAAGGTAACAACGGAATGCAGTGGAAACGGAATAAGGTTTGGGAGACATATAAATCGAGTGGTTTTGTTTGTGTTCTGTGTTTGTCCTGGAGGAGAATTTTTTTCTTACACCAAACACTAACATAAGAACCAACTTCCTATCGACACAATTACCATCGGCAAATTCTGGCGAGGGGGAAGATAAAAAATCGCTGGGGGGGGTGGTCCTGTAAGAGATGGATACTAGGCAGATACTAAAAGCCTGTGCTACAAGTTTGAGTGGAATCCTAGCTGTACTAAATAATGGCAAATGCACTTGTCTAAATGAGATTATTTCAGGATTGTAAAAAATAATAATAAAAAAAAACAAAACCAAAATCAAAAACAAAAACGAAAACAAAAAACCACAACCTTTTCTTCTGGGGAAGCACAAGCACGCCTGCAGCGTTGCTTTCTAGCTCATGTATTCTGCAGATTCCCGTGCGATGTGTCAACGGAAAATGCGACGCGACTCCTCGGGGCGCTGGCCACCCGCGAAAGCGCTGCCCGGAGAGGACAAGGACGGCCTCGCGGGGAGAGACACCCGGCCAGCGCGGCAGCTCCTCCTGCCCTGCCCGACAAGGAACTGAGCCCCGATGGGAACTGTTCTCCCTGGGCAAAGGAAGCCCCTAGCTGCTCGGGGCCTCCGCACGGCCCCCTGCACCGGGGGTGCGGGACCCATCCTGCTACTTGTAAACAGGGTGGGTGCTCTCCGAGATCCGACCTTTGCTCATGAGATCATTTATTCCTGTGTATAATATCCTGCCATGCAAGGCGATGTTGTTTTCTACACCCTTCACCAAGCAGCTCATTATAGAATTGAGGCTGTTGGTCATGAACCCGCCCAAAGAGTTTTTTGGTACACCGAGGGGCTCTCGCTGGAGCAGGGGTCTCGGCAGGGCTGAAGACCTCTACGGGAGTCGCTGCGGCTGCACCGTGGTTTGCTTTGATGCAATCGACCTCAAAAAGCTCCCAAACCCTGCTCTTTAGGTGTTCCTTTCTTTCGCGGCCTTATTTAAAGGTCCTGACATGAGAGAAATTTTTACTGCATTTATTGAAAGAGGAAACACAGCAGGATGTGGGAATACACATAGAAAGACGTCCGGAGAAATAAAGTCCTTCGTTTCTCTGGACTTCTTTTTATAGCGAAGTTTTCGGTAGAAAGTTCCTTGCAGCGACATAAAAGGGTGAGAAAATTGTTCTTCGACAAAACTTCCTTCTAATTACGGAGGGTTTAATGTCCTGAAAGTAAATACTGATTCGGCTTATAACTGAGAGAAACATGTAATCACGCCTGGCTCACTCCTTAGCTGATTATGAAAGATTAATAGCAATTATGCGGTCAGAGATAATGACATGAACTCGTCTATAATATTCGGTTGTTGCCTTAATTGTGGGCACCCGTTTGTCCTTCCAAACCCCCCTTCCAGATACCGCCGACGATTATTAGACCGGCTACAAAGTAGGGCTGCGTGACGGGCGGCTGCTGCGGGACCAGCAGCTATCCCGCGACAGCCCAGCGACCGGGGAGCTCCGCCACCACCTGCCCGGGCTGCCCAGCAAGGGCACCCCCAGCGCCCGCAGTGGTGTCGGTACTGAGCTCCATCTCCATGGCGGCTGCCTCTCCTCTCTCATGCGCCAGAGCCTCCGGAGGGACAGTAAACACAGCCCCAGTTCTATGGTTTTCAGCGGCGCGGAGTTTCCCTGTCCTTCCCCGCGAAGCTGACACTTTTCCCAGCAACTTCTTGCCCTCCGCGCCCAAGAGAGAGCAAAGTGTGCAATACACAACTGCGGAGAGACTGGACTCGGTCCAGAGGGGTAGGGATTGGAGTTGTGGTTGAGGTTGTGGTTGGGGCTGGAGCTGGAGCTGGGAGCCGTCTTCGGAGCTTTCTCCATTTCCAGTATTTCGCGCTCCTGCATTTCTATCCCGACTCAGTGTGAGAGTCGAGGGAGACGACAGAAGGATTTGCCACCGTCTTGGGAAGTCACCACGAAAACAGCCGTCAGCGTAAGCAAACTCTGCGTTTTAACTAGGCTGCCTTACCACGACATGAACTGACACTGCACGGGGAAAAAGCCACATCTAATGAGTGCCAGGTTTACCGTCTTGCGCTGCCCACAGACCCCGTGCCTTTTCCTAGCCGGCAGCAATATCGGGGGTGCGGTGGGCAAGGGCGGGGGGGGTGGTTAAAAGGAGGGTTCTCCCAGGGACCGACAGTTCAGTGAAGACAGGGGACCCCTTTTCCCATAGAACAAATCCCATCTACTCCATATATCGCCGGGAAGAAGGGAGGTGGGGAGGATGGAATGCAAAGACTGTGTTGGGGTTTTCCCCCTCTTGCAGAGGCAACAATGAACTGGAGAAGGTCTCGCTGTGGATCCGGTGAGACCCCTGTCCGTGGATGTAAAAAAGGCCCCTGCCGGCGGCCTCAAAAGGTCCAGTGGTACTCGGCTGGCCTTTTTGAAGCCGCGAGCAGGAGGAAGGGGGAGATGAAGCAACGGGGGCCTAGGTTGGTCCGGAGGGACATCACCGCTGCTCGCCCGTCCAATCTCCCCCCGCTCCAGCTCCGGGGCCTTGGCGGGGCCGGAGCGCGGCGGCGGGGCGGGGGTGGGAGTAGAGGGTGGGGGCGCCGTCGGTGCCGACCGGGGGGCTGCGAGGCGAAAGGGGCAGTGCGGGCAGAGGGAGGGTCACATGTTCCGACGGCAGCCTATGAGCAGCCCCCCGGGCTGAGGCAAACTAATCTGGGGCCGGCCGCCCCCGCCCCGGTCCCCCCTCCCAACCTGGACTTCGTTTTTATAAACGTACCGCCAGGATCCAACCTGTTGGAGGCAAATAACCATCCGCATCATGCCCGGCCCGGGACCGAGCCGCCGCCGCCGCCGCCCGCGATGTGCAAGGCCATGAGCAAAGCAGCGAGCTGGGAGATGGACGGACTGCGCGGCGAAAGCAGCGGCGGCGGCGGCGGCGGCAGCGGCGGCGGCGGCCGCGGAGCCCCCGGGCAGTGCCGTAATTTTCTCTCCTCGCCCGTTTTCGGGGCCGCGCACACGGGCCGAGCGGCCGCCGCCGCCGCTGCCGCCGCCGCCGCCTCGGGTTTTGCCTACGCCGGCGGAGGGGAGCGCTCGGGGGCGGCGGCGAGGCCCGACCCCCCGACCAAGGACTGCCCGGGCTCCACCACGCCGGCCGCCGCCCCCGCGCTGGGCTATGGGTATCACTTTGGCAATGGATACTATAGCTGCAGGATGTCCCACGGGGTTGGGATACAGCAAAACGCCCTGAAGTCTCCCCCCCACGCCTCCATTGGCGGCTTTCCCGTGGAAAAGTACATGGACGTCTCCAGCTTGACCAGCTCCAGTGTCCCTGCCAATGAAGTCTCCTCCAGGGCAAAGGAAGTGTCCTTCTACCAGGGCTATACAACCCCCTACCAGCACGTTCCTGGGTACATAGACATGGTCTCAACGTTTGGCTCTGGGGAACCGAGACACGAAACATACATATCAATGGAGGGCTATCAGTCTTGGACTCTGGCTAATGGCTGGAATAGTCAGGTTTACTGTGCCAAAGATCAGACACAGAGCTCACACTTCTGGAAATCGTCCTTTCCAGGTACGAGAGGGGGAGAAATGGTCTGAGCAGAACACCCCCGCGCCTCCTCCGCCTTCCCGTCCCCTCCCCCGCCCCCGGCCTGCAGGGGCGGCCTGCCGAGCTGGACACGCTGCACAGACACGCAGAGAGCAGGGTGGGGGCGGTGGATATTCTTTTTTTCTCACTCCCCCCTCTGCCGTCTACCCCCGAGAAAATCCTCACCCTCTGCTTTCCATACCCGCGGGACTGACCCCAGAACCTCCCCGCCACCAGCGCCAGGCCACCGACCCCCGGGCCGCGAGCGCCGGGGCGGCCTCGGGCTCCTTCTCCCGCTGCTTCCCTCGGTGGCCGGGTTTATAGTCGCGTTTGAAGTTTGCAGGACGGTGGCTCGAAGGCTTGCTCTCCTCTGCCTCTCCGGCTGGCGACTGATCCGGCGGCCCCAGAGCACTTAAGAGACCGCGAGCAGTGAGGGCACAGAGGCACAAACCACATGCAAACAAACCCGGGAAACTCTCACCAAAGCGATTTCTGTGTGTGCGCTGCCAGCACCGAGCCGCTCTCAGCCCCCAGCCAATGCCCCCACCGCCCTGCATGCTCGGTTAGCGATGCATGCCTGAAAAGTGATGACAGTCCATCAAAGTTTTGGTGGTGCTTTACTAGAGTGCAAATAATGTGGCAGTGTAAATAATAATAAACTGTAAACAACCCGGCATTATTTATTTGCCCATGAAAGCCAGTGCCCAACAAGTATCGGTTAAGCTTTAAAAGCCTGTAATAAAATTCTGATTTTTCACATCATGTCTTTTACAATAGGGGACGTTGCACTAAACCAGCCCGATATGTGTGTCTACCGGCGAGGGAGGAAGAAGCGAGTGCCCTACACAAAACTGCAGCTTAAAGAACTCGAGAATGAATATGCCATTAACAAGTTCATTAACAAGGACAAGAGGCGAAGGATATCCGCAGCCACAAACCTGTCTGAGAGACAAGTTACCATTTGGTTTCAGAACAGGAGGGTGAAGGATAAGAAAATAGTCTCCAAACTGAAAGACAACGTGTCCTGATACATTAATTGCGGACAGTGATGAAAATATAAACTCAATTTACCACCAGCTAAAGACTTTCGAAAAGACTTGAAAATATATTTAATTTTTTGTTTGTCCTTCCAGCGGTGGCGAAATTTCGGGAATTGTTTTCCGTGAAAGTCAGCATTTTTCTCTCAGTGTAAGGGAGTGTTGACAAGTTTTGAATTGAATTATAGTTTCTTCTTTTTGAAAATAATAATAATATTAATATTAATTATATTTTCTGTTCTTCCCTCTAGGCCAGTATAAAGGAATTTAAATATGTTGAACGGTAAAAGTTATAATTTTTTAAAGTGCTTAAATCTTTGGGGGGTATTCTGTGATTTTTTAATTTTTTTTTTTTCTCTGAGCAACAGCCAGTGCCAGAATATGTCAGTTTTGATTTGGTATCGTAAACTTCAAAACACGCCGAGTGAAAAAAAAAAAAAAAAAAAAAAATCAATCGGAAATACAAGAAAGCCGGAATACAGACCCGTGGCAGCACCCGGCTTCTGCCAAACTTGCCTGGTCCACTGGGACCCGGAGAGAATTGAGTGGAGGGCTACTGGCTGCAGCAGAATTTTTAATTACTTTGTCGAGGAAGGGAGAACCTCTCCGAGCTGTTACGGGGCGCAGAATCGCAGGCGTGTCCCACCGCGCTCCCCGCTCCTGCAGGTTTGGGGTGAGCCTGGGTTTGTGAATTTTATCCGCCGCAGTTTCGTTTTCAGTGCAAGGAGTCCACGCTGCCCCGATGAAAAAGGGAAGACCTTGTGTCCCGGGCGGACGCTGCGAGGCAGCGCTTTCGGCAGGACGGCTTGGCCAGCTCGCCCTGCAGCCAGAGGAGAGGCTGCCCCTGCAGAGGTGTGTATGGACCTGCACAGACCTGGCGGGGAATGCCCGCTCTGTCCTGGACCAGCCCGAGACTCTTCTACTTCCTCATGCCCAAAAACTCCTTGATGGACAAGCCAAGGTCACTGCTAGGTTTTAATTTACAAAACTAAACGGGTGTTTATGACAGAAGCAATAAATAAGGAAATTCAAAAGATGCCATAATTTATATGGGCCGAAAGGCTAAGATTTTGTCGATTTTTTTATTCTTTTAAATCTAGTGTGCATGTTATGATATACACAGGGTGATCAGACACGCTAATCAACAACCAGGAGGGAGAAGCGGTATCCTCCCTGTTAATGTGCCTCATCTAATTATTAAAATGTGTTCCAAACTAGTATTATTTATTATAATATACTATTGCTCTAAACATTTTGATTACCCTTGTATGTGGTAAAACATACGATAAGCCTATTTCTCCATAAACCATTTTGTTTTAAATTGTCTTAAAGTCAGCTTTTACTTTGTGTTGGAAATACAATCTGAAATTTCAAACTGTTAACGATGTTGCAAATCTTTTCCTGAACCATCTTTAATAAAACTATTTCTTTTCGCTGTATATAAAAAGAGAAAGAAATTCGCCTTCTTTTGCCGCAGGGGGTTTCGCGGGCTCCAGGTTTTCCTGGAATCCTCTCAGGGACACAGTACGCCGTTCCTAGCAAATGCGAGGTAGATAGAGGGGCATTAAAGGATGAGGAAGAGCATCCGAGAGTATATTGTCGGCAGGAAAGGGTTTTAGTGAGAAAGACATGCTGCCGGCGAGCAATAAGGGGTTTGGGAAGCAGCAGAAAGGCTGTGTCTCTCCTCTCCCTCCGAGCCCCCTCCGCCTGCCCGGTGCCTGGCGGCCGAGGGCCGTCCCTTTGTTCTCCATTTCCAAAATGTCCCGGCACTTGCCGCTTCCCCGGCGGCCGGCCCGGAGCGATGCTCCTCGGTTTTCTCCGCAGCCGCCTGGCTCCATCGGGAGGTTATCTTCCGCCTCCTCCGCCCTCTTCCTTCCCCTTTCTACTCTGCTCGCACGTTCCTGGCGTTTGTTTTCCCTGAAAGGACGAAAAAAGTCGATTTCTGAGCAGTACAGATTTTATCGCAAAGCGCATTTTTGTTCAATTCTAGTATAAAAGGACACTTGTGCTGGTCGTCATTTACGTGCCTGGAACAGCCCGCTCTGCTGATGCAACCTTCTTTTCTCCGAATGTTTTAAATTCTTGTCTTCTCCCCCTTGGCACCCCCACTCACCCACACATACTGCCATTAATTCTACAGAGATTTTTCCTCCCACCGAGTCTCCCTGCAGACGGACGGCCGGGCACTGCCAGAGCTGTTTTGTTTCCCGGCCGCGGAGCCATCGCGGGCTGCTCTCTTCCTCCTTCCAGGCTTAACCTTTGCCTTTGCCGGGCTCCGTGCTTTCAGAAGGCGCAGCTTGCCGAGCCAAAGCCGCCTTCCTCGGGCAGAAGGAAACCCGAACTGCCTGGCAAATCGGTACCAGATGGAGAGGAGTCGCCTTTTAGTTTCGTAAGACCGTGCAGAATCATTAAGAAGCCAGCAGCTACAGGCCGGAGGAAGATGAGGCGCACAGCTGCCCCTCTACCTACCGGCTGAGATTAAAAGGGTTTTCTAAGCCTGGAGCTGGGGCATTGGTGAGCCTCGTTCAAAACCTCCTCGGCCACTGCTTGGGCTCTTCAGGACATCAGCTGCATGTGGCCCCGGGGCCGGGATGCAGCCCCAGCTGCAGGCGGCCACAGCCGCCCGTGTTTAGAGAAGAGGGCATGAAAGTTCGTCCGAAATGTAGCGCGGGTTACTGCAGATAATTAACATGTACCTCGACAAACCGAGTTGCAAATGCACAGTGGCGCAGTGATGCATTGCCCGGCTCCTGTCAGGCAGCGCTCTTTCCCAGCCATGTCTGAGGCAATCCTGCCATCTCCTGGACAACCCCCAGCATAGGCAGGGGAAGCCTTCCCCTCGCTTCGGGCGCCGCGTTCCCGAGTGATAAACGAGCGAGGGAGGCTGTTGGGTCGCACGCAGAGAGCCCTTCGTCTGTAAACTGGAAGACTATGCCAGTGAAATTACAGTGTGTGGTCAGCTCTGATGTCCAGGCCTATCCGGACGGCTATTTAAAAACCAGGGGAAAAAAAAAAAAAAAAAAAGAGCGGAAAAGAGGAAAGGAGCGTGTGAAAGCAGGCCCCCGGGTCGCCCTGCTCCTCAGCGGTGATATTTCCTGTACAGACACAGGCGGGGGGACACCCGAGGCATTAACACGCCGCCCCCAAACCAGCAGCCGGCTGTGGCTGGAAAAAGCAGCACAAGCCCGAACAAGGCTCTCCTTCCACTCCACCCCGCTCCCCTCGGCTCCGAGGCCAGCCGCCTCTGGAACATGATGTTTCTGTAAATGTTTTTCCATGTAGATTTAAACATTTTCCGTAACTGTGAGTGTCTCCAGATATTTCAGATTTTTATTAGGTTATCTTTTTCTTTTTCCTTTTTTTTTTTTTTTTGTGTTAATTAGCAATTACAAATGAGTTGAATATTAATTGAAAGTTCTGTTTTCTCTAACCCCATAAAAGTTAGTTTGAAGTGTCACCTTTCTTTCCGGTAACTGGGAACTCACATCCATTCCTTGTGTTTATTGCAGACAAAAATATAGCCTTTGAACTGAATGTTCCTTTTCTCTTCCAAGAACTGAAAATCAGCTCTTTCATAAAATACATTAAAAAAAAATTTCCCATCTTCTAACACAAAGTTAGAATACAAGCTAATAAGAGGGAGATTCAATTGGTAGACATAACTCAAACAATAAAAATTAAAGGCAGTGGTCAGCAATATCCTCCAGCGGTGCTTGTGTGGTCCTGTGTGGTCTAGGAGAGAGCAATCATTTAAAGATTTTTTTTTTCCAGGGCAATGAAATTACTGCAGAATTTCCCTCAATTTCCCATTAAACAGAAAGATGAATTTGATTAGGACAATGTCAAGAAGGGCAGCGTCTCTGATCTCGCCTTAGAAATAAAACCAAGATTAAAACTGTGATTAAGAGGATAATAACAGGGAAAATTAACCCTACCTGCTAACTAGGTTCAAGTTTTTAACCGAGGTAATGAAAGTGGGAAAGTCCGGGCATTAAGGCTTCGCTTGACGCCGGATTCGCACACCCCGGGGAGACCTTGCGAGAGAGGCCGAGGGCAGAAAAGCTCGGTCCGGGGGGCGAATCGGCCTCCAGAGTGTCCTGCGGATTTGTGGGGTGGTGGGGCAGGGAGCGCCCATGGGTACTCCACTCCTTCTCCAGCCTTCCAGCTCCCTGCCAGGGTCTTTGGGTGCAGCACACGGGGCCTTGCCTCTTCCCTGTCCCGCGAACCGCACGGTTTGGGAAAGGACACGAGCAATCTTCTGTGAGGATGCTCTCAGATATGATTTTAATAACTCTGGGGCTGTGGGGAAATGAGAGAGATAATGGAATAAACGAGCTCTTGTTTGATCAATCAAAAATATAAAAATACGTGTAATTCCCCAAAATGACACAGTAATAAAACAGTGAGGGATGATTTTCTTCACATGAGAGAAAAACTCCTCACCCAAAACCTGGGAGATGAGGCTGACTCTCCCCTCCCTCTGCCCGCTGCTGCATTCATACCCTCTCTGCTGAAGAGCAGACCCTGGCATTTTTTTCTTGAATTCTTTCGATTTTATTTATCTGGGTTTTTTTTTTTTTTTTTTATCTCGGAGTGTTGCCCAAGTAATTCCTTGTTGTTGCTGTTGTTATTCTCTGTTTGTTGATGTTTGTTTGATTGTATTTCAAAGATAAAACAGATTCCGAGTTTTAGAAACGCTGTTTGCCTAGAAGAGCTTCCAAGTGAAGATGAAAGGCAAAAGGGGTAAAAAGGGCAGACGTGAGGACCTAAGAGAATACTGGTCACTAGTGCGCCAGAATGACGATCCCGGTAATATCCGATCCATTAAGACTTTATTTGCACGCATATGCGGATGCATATCATGCAGTTAGGGGCAGAAGTACGTACGTATGCCCTAAATATCCACATCTCATATATATCACAAGTTATTTCCAGTCCTCGGTGCTCACTCTTACCGTGGCTATGGTTCTGGCCCGGAGGGTGCTGCCGGC